AGATGATTATGGTTTGTTAAAGTATAAATGTATTTCACTAGTAGCATGTTGATCTGTGTTTCTTAACAGGGGGATTCAGGAGGTCCTTTGGTTTGTGGAAACACTGCTGTTGGAATAACATCTTTTGGTAACCCTTTTCGCTGCAATTCATATTTGCTTCCTAATGTCTATACTAAGATTTCAGCATATCTTCCATGGATCCACAGTATTATAGACAATTGTGAGTGATTTATGGAAAATGTATAAAAGGTAGAAATGTTTTTCTTGAGTTCTTCCATGAACCAATAAAAGTATCATATGGCATTCATCAAATCGCACTGTGCTTTTGTGAAATTGTGTTTAAAATCATTCAGCACTGTAGGTCAATTGGTGGCCAGACAAGTCTGATTAAAATGACTTTCAGAGTAAAGTAGTGAAATAAAGAGCTTGGTGAAATCTTCCTGTAAAAATTATATATTAAATATATACTACATTTTTGATAAAAGTAGCCAAGGAGACAATCCTAGTTCCCCCATCCCATTAAACATCCAGACAAAAGTGCTTTATAAAATGTGTTTCATCTACTTTCAATAAGCTCTAATATTATATATCATGTCTTTTAGGTATATTCTGTCTTATCTGTTGTGGAGCCATGTAGACCTAAAAACTGAGAAACAAAGAGAACATTTGCCCTACAATTTACCAGAACATTATTCAGGTCACTTGACCATACCCCTATTTCTGCAGAAGGCGCAATGAGATTGCGCAGCACTGTTAAATTACCTAGTTGGGGACTATTTTCAGGCACTGCATAATATCACTGTGCCTGCTGCAGCCATGGTACAACAAAAGTTCCTTGATTATTATGGCAGAATGAGAATATAGCTCCTAGTCAGCTTAGAAAATAGTACACCATGAAAATCCAGAATAGTCAAGCTTTACATAGGAAAATGATATCAACTTTTTTTTTTTGTGAGATGCTAATGATCTAATGCGATTCTATAATCTATGCTAAGTGTAGTAGGTTGCCCTTTAAATGCATGCGTTGCGGGCTATACCACGTCAAGGCTTTATAGGAGCTGGTGAGCTCTCTGTCTCTGGTTGGCATTTTGTTGTTTAGACCTGTTGATGGGATTCTCTCCCCTAGTTCTCCAGACAGCGGTGGCAGTCGGAAATTAACTTGATTGTGCACAGCCGGTTTTTGTGTATAATGCAACCCAGGCTCATTCTGAAAATGCTGTTTCTGGAGACCGTGAAATACGTCCAAGGAGGTACGTGTTTTTGCAGTTTTTGTTTTCGCGAATCCACGAGAGGTCACTGTGTGTGCTTTTTTGTTTCTCAAATGTCTCTTGCGTGTGTCGTTCGTGCCCGTGCTGTTCTCGCGTAAACCCACCAGAAGCCGCTGTCGACTGACTAAATGACTGAATGATTGACTAGGTGACCGGCCAATCTACTGACCCACCCTCCCTCCTCTTTCCCTAAACCCAACCAATTTCACCATTTGGCCCGCCCACCCTCTTACTTCCCCTGAACCCAACCGATGGTTTACAAAAGCTGTCCAGAAAAAGCCCTCGTCTGATTTTTACTACGTATTTGGATTTTACCACATTCTCACCCTGTTATAAACTTGTTCACTGTTTTTTTTTTTTTGGATTCTGTTTTACCTGATTTCTGGAACTGCTCTTCCTCGGACTTGAACCCGGTTGTTGTCCTTGTCAACTCCTCTCTGCATCTCAAGTCCGCCGACGTACACGACGAGCTAACTGGACAAACTGGTTGCCGCGAGAAAGCCCTCCACACAGAGGTAAATGGTCAGCCGGTAAACACCAAAAGGAACGGCATCATACAGCCCTGTAGGGTTCGCTTAACAAAATGAATTACAGCCATACGTACCTCCGGCTACATAATTCGTGGTCTTCAGAATCGTCCACAGGACTACGTTTTCAGAATGAGCCTGAGTTGGTATAATATAAAGTTCATTCCAAAGAGTCTGCCAGCTGCTGCTTTATTGTAACTTGAGTGGCATCTGGCCTTATTTGGAAGCGGTATTTCCATGTGTTCGTGTATTGGTCTTCAGACGCAAGCACCTCAGAATCCATCATTGGTGGTCAAATCTATGTGTGCTGCCTTTGAATGATTTACACAGGTCCTCAAACCACCTGCTCATGTTGCAGTCGAAAAGCATCTTTAGTCTAGTGTGTTTGTTACTTTCCCTGAAGTGATGTGATTTTTGTATGGAGTGTTATTTCGTTTTCTATTTTTTCCCTTTGTATGTGTTGTTGTTGCTATTGTTGTTATTATTTTGAGAAGTTGGTGTCGTTGTTATGATTGTAGGGATGATGTGACATTACTTGTTTATTGGTATTGCCAAATTAGAACCAAGGGTTTGGTGTGAATTTGATATTTTGAATTGTGTGGTTGGTGGTGTATACAATTTATTATACAGTATTTAGTTTTTATGGGTTTATGATTTTGTACTTAATGTTTATGGATCATATATGGTGGTCCCTATTTGTGTATTAAAATATGCTGGAGTGAGACACATTGAATAACAGCAAAGAATAACAACTTCTAACTAATCTCATTTTTGTTTGGTTTTGTGTGGGATTTATATTTGTATAGGCACCCTGGTGTTTTTGTAGATATTGTTTTGATGTGTTTTTCTTTCTTGTATTTTTCTGTTGTATTTTGTTCTAGTTTGTTGATTGTTCTTAAATCATACTAAACGTTTACTATTTTAGGTTCGTCAGGATTACCTAAATGATTTACATTTTCTGAATGCCAGAATATGGCAAAGCAGTGGCGCAGTAGGTAGTGCTGTCGCCTCACACCAAGAAAGTCGCTGGTTCGAGCCTCAGTTGGCGTTTCTGTGTGGAGGTTGCATGTTCTCCCTGCTTTCGCCTGGGTTTCCTCCTGGTGCTCTGGATTCCCCCACAGTCCAAAGACATGTGGTACAGGTGAATTGGGTAAGCTAAATTGTCTGTAGTGTATGAGTATGTGTGTGGATGTTTCACAGAGTTGGGTTGCGGCTGGAAGGGCATCCGCTGTGTAAAAAGCTTGCTGGATAAGTTGGCCGTTCAATCGGCTTTGGTGACCCCGGATAAATAAAGGGACTAAGCTGACAAGAAAATGAATGAATAAATGAATGAATGCCAGAATAATGAGAGAATTAATTTTTTTATTTTTTTGGAGAATTTTTATTTTATTTTTTGATAGTAAAAATTTTTACATACATTTCCTTGGTATTTTTTTTAGCTTTGCTTTTAAACTGTATAACTTTGGTCAAATGTTTTGGGTATCCTTCCACAAGCTTCTCACAATATTTTGAAGGAATTATGGCCCATTCCTCCTGATAGAATTGGTGTGACTGAGTCAGATTTGTAGCCTGTCTTGCTCGCACAAGCTTTTTAAACGCTGCCCACATAATTTCTATAGGATTTGGGATCAGGGCTTTGTGATGGCCACTCCAAAACATTCATTCTGTCACTCTAAAAGCACATTTTAACTTATTTAGCAGTATGCTTAGGATCATGGTCTGTTTGGAAGAACCATTTTTGGCCTAATTTTAATTTCCTGGCTGATGTCTTAAGATGTTGCTTTAGTATTTCTACATATTCTTTCTTTATGTGTAGGCTTGTAAGTTTCCCCTTTGTCATCCAAATGTAACACTGTTCATTATGGCCAAACAGTTCAATCTTAGTTCAATTAAACCACAGGACATGTCTCCAAAAAATATTCTTTTTCCCAGTGTAATTTATCAAATTGTAATCTGGCTTTTTTGTTGATTTTGGCTTGTTGATTTTTCCATGTTGTCACAAAAGAAAGCAGTGTGTTTGAGGTTTTCCTTAAATACTATTCTACAGTTGTGCCTCCAATTAACTTAAATGTTGACAATTAGCCAATCAGAAACTTACAAAACCTTAACTCCATCATCTGAGCTTTTTCAGAGGCATGATAATCTTATTATATGTAAACTTGACTTTTAGTCAAGAAAGTTATAAAAATTCATAAAAAATATCCCTTTCATTATTCTGTTATTAAGCATAACAGAAACACATTTGATTATCCTAACTTACCTAAAAGAGAAAACGTTAGTTTGGTTATGTGCCTTTTTACACAGTGTATGTAAACTTCTGGTTTCAACTGTATATTTGTATAGACTTTTGCTTATCGTATTAATCTTGTCTTTATTATTATTTGCCTGTGTTTGTATTGTCTTTTTGTGGATGGATGTATTTTGTTCTAGATTAATAATGGCTATACATTGATCCATTATCTACTTGTCAATTTGTAGGGATCATGCTTGAAGATTAAGGCCTTAAAAGGGTACAGAATTGGGAAAGTAACCTTAACTGGGGTTTTTGTCACTAGGAAAATTGTTCAATTGTAGAAATATTTTCATTGTGATGTTGAGCTCAATGTTTTAAAAAGTAAATGTAAGAAATAAAATTGAGATCTTTTTGAACACTGATCTAACTCTGTTCATTAAGTTGGAAACTTACCATTGGGGAGACCATCTTGGGGTTTGATCTTAGGGGCCTGGAGGGCCGTATCCCAGCCCCTTTTACATAAGCTAAGCTAATAGTGCTCACACCAGACCACAATATCAGTTGTGTTTAAAAAATGGTTAGACTCGACTGTTTAACTCTTGGGAAGTTGTAAAATGAGCTCATTTAAGTGGAGTGTTCTTTTCTTTAGGAGTCCTAAACTGCAGTGGCCAAGCAAAACTGAAGAGAGCAGAGTCATACCGTACTGCAAAATGGAAAAAGCAGCATTGGTGGTCTTGGTGACTGAGTCAGATTCATTAAGCTACCAGAAATGACAAGAAATATTAGCCAATAATTACATCAAACATAGAGAACATTAAGAACAAGCATAACACCAATCAAAAGCCACACCTCGGTGTGAAAGAGGAAGTACATGAACTACTTAGGGTAAACTTGCCCACTTTACTTTACACACCAACCATCAAACCAGAGAAGAACATCAGTAATCCGTAGCAACCTTCTAACACCAGCATCATGACCTTCTCTGTGCTTTTGCTAGTTTATTTGCTACCGAATCTGACCCTTCAAGGTAAGTGTGATAAAAAAAAAAATCGATGACCTTTAACCAATTATGTCTTCTACATTTAACGTAAATGTAAAACTTTAATGTTCACTATATTAAGAGACATTTGTCCAAGTCAGATTGATGTTTAACCAACCTAATTTGACTTTTCTCTTAGCATCTGTGAAGTCTGGCATAGTAAACGGGAATGAAGCTAGACCTCATTCAAGACCCTACATGGTTTCTGTTCAATGCAATAGGAAACACATATGCGGTGGCTTCCTTGTGTCTGAGCAGTTTGTCATGACGGCTGCCCACTGCTTTGTAAAGTAAGTAACCATTGTGAGTCAACAAAGCCCTGATGCAAAAGGGTCTTCAATTAGTGTATCTGCTTTCAGATTGACAAATACTATATTAGTGAATTGAGTCTCCTCTAGTCTTGAAATACAGTCATTATTTGACCTTTTAAAGGCATTCTTAAAAATCAAGATTACAAAGAGCATCATCTTCCACAAAGAGTGTTATTTCTATCTCATTAGGATGGATGTTTTTCGATACATGATTAATTTTTTGCTTCTTAAATTTTTCTAAACTGGAACATATCTTGACAGGCCTCTGTATATATCATATATTATTTGTGAGAGACTATTCCCCTTCCCCCCCCTACCCCCACCCCCACCATATACAGTTGAAGTCAGAATTATTAGCCCCACTTTTTCATTTTTTTCTTTTTTAAACATTTGTCAAATTGTTTAACAGAGCAAGGAAATTTTCACAGTATGTCTGATAAAATTTTTTCTTCAGGAGAAAGTCTTATTTGTTTTATTTTGGCTAGAATTAAAGCAGTTTTTAATTTTTTAAAAGCCATTTTAAGGTCAAAATGACTAGTTAAAATTACTGACCCTATATATATATATATATATATATATATATATATATATATATATATATATATATATATATATATATATATATATATATATTGATAGACTACAGAACAAACCATCTTTATACAATAACTTGCATTTTTACTCTAACCTGCCTAGTAACCTAATTAACCTAGTTAAATGTCACTTTAAGCTGTATAGAAGTGTCTTGAAAAATATCTAGTACAATATTATTTAGTGTCATCATGACAAAGATAAAATAAATAAGTTATTAGAAATGAGTTATTAAAACTATTATGTTTAGAAATGTGCTGAAAAAAATCACTTTAAACAAAAATTGGGGGGAAAAAATAAAAAGGGGGACTAATAATTCTAAAACTATATATAAATATGTACACATTGATAAGATTTTTTTTAAAGGGCACCTATGGTGAAAAATCTACTTTGCAAGCTGTTTGGACAGACATGTGTGTATATATAGTGTATAGACTGTCATATTGTGGTGATATAAACACACAGTCCTGTTTTTTTATTTAATAACATAAAAACGGTGGACCAATTGGATCGGTTTTCAGACCGACCGCAACTTCATGTAGGAGAGCGGTCCTCCCGCCCACCAATATTGATTGACAGCCTCGCGTCACGATCATATCCTCAGTTTCTCGTTTCATGTCCGCCATTTTCAGCGTGTGAGTCAAAGCGATATCACTAAAGGAACACCCTTGCTTTATTAATAGATGAAAGGCTCATTGGGCTCAACACAAGATCAATATTCTCCACATTATCGCTCTAATCGGAATTATTGCTTGTACCTTTTGCGTGGCGTAGCGCCGTGCATTTTGGACTTCTGGGCGTGGGTCTCTGTCGGGGTGCAAGTGGCGGAGCTTTGGGTTGGCGGCTTGTTGGCCACGGCGCCGTTGTGTTTGCCCATGTGGAGGCCTGTGTTTGGAGTTCTGGAATGCATGGTGCGACGATTTGGGACACTTTATATTTCTGCCGCGCCACTGAGGGTGTCTGGTGTGCCATGTTGCGGCGCATTCGGTGCCTCAGTCAAAGTTAATTCAGTGTGTGTGGTTATCAGTCTCGGTGTACAAGCTCGGCACTTGTACACCAAGACTATACCAACTATACAAAGACACAAATGATTTTGTACTCTCTGCTTGGTCTGTGTCCGAGTCATACATGTATGGCTGAATGCTGATCCTAGCTTAGCTTAGCTTCTGTCTCTCTGTCTGTCAGCCTTTCTGTTGCAAACACAGAGCGTGGGATCTTTTGGCTCCCTTGTTACGTTGGGCGGTAAGCTAATTTTAAAACTAATTTTCATGTGAAGCAACACGGCCCTAAAACAGCAAACTGTGCATGGGCCTTAAAGTCCATGTGAGCTGCGATCGTTATTCTTTTCATAACGTGATGCAGTACCCTGAGAAATGGAATTTTAAATAAGCAAACAGTGGGTGTGGCTGTTATGGTGTTATTACAAGCCACGCCCATTACCTCAAAATCACGTAATCTGAAAAAATAACTAAAACCAAACAGAAAGTGCATTTTCAGATTTCAATTAAAGATTAAAATGACAAACTATTTTTTAATGACATGCACAGATGAATTATTCACCACAAAATTTTTAATGACTTTAATGCTAACCCTGCTAAAAAAACAGCTTAAACCAGCCTAGGCTGGTTGGCTGATTTTAGATAGTAGACCAGCCTGGTTTTAGAGGGGTTTAGGCCATTTCCAGACTGGTTTCCAGCCATTTCTAGCCTCGTCTAGTTGGTCAGTCTGAGAAATGACCAGCGAAAACCAACTTGACCAGCCTGGTTTAAGCTGGACATAGCTGTTTTGGCTGGGCTCCCAGCCTGACTAGGGTGGTCAATCTGGTTTTAGCTGGTCATTTTCCAGCCAGACCAGCTAAGACCTGGCTGCAAATGGTGAAAACCAGCCTGGAAATGGCCTAAACCCCTCTAAAACTAGGCTGTTTTTTAGCAGGGAAAAACTACTCAGGTGGTCATTTAGACTTTTTAATAACTTTGATAGGATTGAAACCCGTATACTGTAACTATAGTACCCAGTCTTTACCAAATGTGTATGTTTATTTATTTTCCAATGTATTATTGTTTGGAGTATTTATACCTTGAATTACCTTAACAGTCAAATTGATGGCATGGATTTCAGAGTTTCCCACTTATTCATGTGCATTTGAATATGTGCATTTCTGTTGCCTAGCAACTTCCTGCAAACAAACTCAACTTTACTTCAGGCATATCTTTCAAAACAAGTTTGAATGGTCACTGCAGATATTCTATTAGTTATATAATTCTGGTATCAGTGTTGAAGAATCCTTTTCCCCTTGGTATTGAGAACATTTCCTTCGAAGGCAAGTATATGGATGTTAAAGATTCAATGAAACAAATAAAATCAAAACCAACCATATGATTTTGTTAGCTCATATTGCTAGTTTTGTGCTGAACAATTTATCTGTGCATGTTCTTAGAAAATGGCTTGCCCCTGCATTCTTTAATTGAAATCTGAAAATGCACTTCCTTTTTTAGTTAAACTGTCAGATTACATATATCTTATTGGGCATGGTTAACATACTTAACCACGACCCTCCAACTGTCAGTTTTGACAACAATCAGAAATAGTGAAAGGTAGGTGTATGTTGGGTTGAAATAACTCTACTAAAAACCCTTTTCCGATCTTTCTGAATGACTACTGTGCTAGATCCATTCAGCTTGCAACAGAAAAAAACAAGCCACGCCCACTGTCTTCTCATTTATTATTTCATTTCTCTAGAAACTTCAACACAATGTGAAAAAAGTCACAGCTTCCTGTTCATGTGGACTTTAAGAACCTTTATTTTTAAGAGCGCAAGGATTCTGCAAACAATAGTTTGAATCCAAATGATTGTCATCATTTACCATCAAAATATGATTTCTTGCTAGTGGCAAAGAGCTGACGGTTGTGGTTGGAGCTCATGAATACACAGATGGTGCTAGCCGCATGGATGTGAAGTTCTACCACATCCACCCTGGGTTTGAGTCTAAAACTCTGCTAAATGACATCATGCTACTTCAGGTAAATGACTCAGCAAGGTTTTGCATTGTAAACTGAAGTAAAACCATACACTACATTGATCATGTGAAAATGTCCCAATCTCCTTGTGTTTTGGTAGATTGTTTGCTGTAGCAATGTTGTAAGTGACAAAAATGAATTGACATCTAATCTGAGCATTCAAATTGAGACATTCTAGATTAAAATCAAATGTGAATTGGATTTCAAACCATAGAGATGTGGTTACACTTAGGTTTTTGAACTGCACTGAAAAATAATATCGATTTTTTATGCCCCAAATATTTAGGAATAAGTAAACATCATGAAGACGTAGATAACTTAAGATCTAAAAACATTTTTTTTTTGTCTACATCTACATTGTCAAAGGCTTATGTTGAGATTTTCTCAATATTTTGATTTATTTTGAACCTTCAGATTTCAGATTTTCAGTTGCATTTCAGCCAGATATTGCCCACTACTCATAAAGTATATACATCAATGGAAAGCATATTTAATGAGCTTTCAAGTGATCCATAAACCTCAATTTCAGAAAATGGCAATTATGACTGCTGTTGTTGACAACGATTTTAATCATTGAATCACTTCATATAGCTACATAAAAAGGTCAAAAAGAGCAACAAAGTCAACTGGATCCCAATACCAAACGCAGACAAGGACATCAAGGCCAAGACTAAATGCAGTGTTGCAGGATGGGGGAAAAACACCACCCATGGTGAAGTAAGTGCCAAACTTATGGAGGTGAACGTCACTCTTTTTGACAAAAAAGCATGTCAGAAGTACTGGGGACCAACATACTCCACTTCAAAGATGATGTGCACAGGTGGTCATGGAGGATTTTGCCAGGTACAAATATATTCTGGACAAATATAGTGCATTTCCTAGAGAAATCTATTTAATTTGCTATCACTTTGTTCGACTCACAGGGAGATTCCGGAGGACCTCTGGTGTGTGACAAAGTTGCAGTTGGAATTGTTTCATTCAATGAGAAAAACAACTGTGATTCCCCAACAAAACCGAATGTCTACACCCAGATTTCCAAATTTCTGTCATGGATAAAATGCATTGTTGGTGGTGTGAAGGAAGAATTTGAATAATAAACATTTTTTCTAACATAAACATACTTATGTTAGAATACTATATTCTAACACACTCTGTTGTTTGTACGTGTGGATTTCTGTTGATCATTTTATAATCTGAATGATTGATTTGAACATTAAATGCTTTTGAGTGGAAAGTTAGTTTCAACCCTTCTCAGCAAAGCGGGTTTCCTGTGGGGGCTCAGCTCATCAAATGTGGTCAAACACCCTGTGAGAAAAAATAGTTTGCAAGACATCTTAAAAAAAAAAAGATGACGAAGCAAGATTATGAGACGCATTCTATTATTACTGTAAGAAACGCAAAATGTCTATTCTTGCAGCAGAGAAGCAAATCAAGCAATACATATTGCCAGAATAAGAAGTCAACTTAAAGTTATAGTTCACCTAAAAATGATAATGTTCTCACTATTACTCACCCTCAAATGGTTCCAAACCATTATGAGTAAAGAAGTAAAGACACTAAAGAAGATATTCTAAAAAAAAAAAATTTTTTTTTTAAATTTAAAAAAAAGCTGAAAACCTGTAACCAGTTGAGTAATTGACAGAATTTTCAGTTTTAGGAGAACTGTCCCTTTAAAATATAAAAGGATTAAAATATACATAGTTAAGGTTGTGTGCAAACTGTCCTAAGAGATATGAGAATTTGCCTGAAGTATTGAAAGTCTAATCCAAATCACGATAAATTAATCCACTCAGAACACCTGCCTCATCTTGGTCAGACAGCCCCCCACGCTCAAGCTATTGGCTGAGCCGTTGCTATGTGAGGCTGGTCAGAGGACAATGCTTCAACAAACACAGTGGTGTTTATACTTTACAAGAGAAATCGACCTACAAATGTGACGGTTCACTCACTCTGATGATTTCTTGCTCTTTAGAATACTATGCACTGTAAAACACAACAGTCAACTTTATCAAAGGAAATGAGTGTCGTCAACATAAAATCTTCTGAAAGTAATTCTACTCAATTGAAAAGAGTTTTGAACTCAGTGTTGAAGGCCATAAGTTAATTAAATACCTCATTGCTTTACCTGAAAATTAGGAGTTCACAGTACTCATATAGATTAGTTTTTTTTTTTTTTTTTACTCAAATGGTGTGTTGCAATCGGTTTCCTCAAATGGTTTGAGTTGCCTTAACTTATTGGGTTTTACAGTACTCAGTTGGTTTGAGTTGACTTCATTTGTTGGGTTTTACTGTGGTCAGATTGCTTCGTTTACTCAAATGGATTAAGTACACAGTACTCATTATGATTAGTTTTTGAACTTAAATGGTTTGTTGCAATCGATTTCCTCAAATGGTTTGAGTTACCCTAACTTTCTGGATTTACAGTGTGGCAAAATGTGTTTTAATTCAAGTTCTTACACCTCCCACTTGATTACAAATCAATCAGGAAATGCTGATTTGTGGTTTGCTGTGACTGGAGGCTTGCACTTTGAGTAATACAAAGGCGAGCGACACGTTCACATGTTACTAGCAGAGTGAAACACTTCACTATAATCCTGCTCATCACACTTGTGGTCACATATGTTCATGTGACAGGTTTATTAGTTATTTAACCTTTTCATTTTGGTCTTTTGAACTCTTGAGGTATAAAATCTTGTTTTTATTCTCCACAGTTGCAGTTATGGGTGATTTAATCAAATGGGGAAAAAGTAACAAAATAATAATAATCCATGATATCTGTTTAGATCAATGTAAAACATATATGTGGGGGGTTTCTCATATCTCTTAAAGATAATTGGTAATACTATACAATAACATTGCATGAATAATGATGTATTTATACCTAAACTAAACATTACTTTATTATGAACTAATGATGAGTTAATGCATGCGCTAATCATGAACTAGCTTTAACTACAACATTAGTCATGAGTTCATTGTGTGAATGACAGCTACCTCCATTACTTGTTAGTGCATGATTGTTTGTTAATTAATGTATTAATTACCACATTAGATTATGCTTAATTTAACCATCATGAACTCATGATATGGTAATGTATTATTATATCATGATGACTTAACAACATCATCCTTAACTCATTCTTAACTACTCATGAACTCCTTATGCACGTCCACCTAGTGCGTTTATACTGAATAACAATAGAAAAGTGTTCTGCCGACATCAACATGAACAGTTTGAACACAAGAGTTCATGAGGAAGAGTAAATGATAATGTGCCCCTTCAAGTAAAGTCATGACAAAATTATACATTACCAGCTCATGAATTCATGATGGTTACATTTAGCTCAAATTTAAATGTTAATTAATACATTAACTAACAACATGTACTAACTAGTAATTGAGGTAGCTGTTATTCACGCATGAACTCTTGTGACTCATGATGTACTTAAAGTTAGTTCATGATTAGCGCACACCTTAACTCATTATTGATTCATAGTAATGTTTAGTTCACAAACAAATGCATTATTATCCATGTACTGTTATTGTAAAGTGTTACCAGATTATTGGTATAAGGCATTACAATGCAAAAAAAAAAAAAAAAAACTGCAAACTTGCATGATATTTTTTCATCTGTGAAAAAAAATAAAAGTTTGCTTAGCATTTTGCTAATTAATTGACTCATCATTTCGTTTAAAAATTCAAAAGAAGAATTTGGCTTTAATTTCAGCTAATCTTGTTGCCGTGGTTTGAGTCACAGCCCTACTAAAGGGAATAACTTCATAACTGTGCTTTTTTGGATGTTTATTACTAGACTATTGAAAATACTGTATACAGGCCTAGATTACAAATGAAAAAAAGGTCATATGACTTGACATGAGAAAATAATGGTTGCGGAGTGACCTTAATTTTTTGAGTTATTTAAGTTACAGGAAGTAATTTAAATGACATAACTATGAGATATAGACCATTTTGAGGGATGTAAACGATAACAAAGGTACTTACATATTTCCTGTTTTATATCTTTTAATTTTCAAAGCTTTTGAAAAATCTAAAAGTTCCAAATATTGATAAATGATCCAATGGCAGGTGTTTTAACGTAAAGTTATCATTGAATTGGCTAGTGTTACAGTTATGAAATAGTTTGACAACAAGCAGGAAATGTTTATGGGCCAATGACATGACCACACTGAAATGGCCTATAAACTCAAAAAATAAATAAATAAATAAATAAATAAATAAAATTAACCAAGAACCAATCTTTAAAAAATCGGATTTTTTAAAAACTAACGCTTCATCGTAAGATTCCATTTTTCCATTTCCAATCTGAGTTCGAAACAAGCTTCCATATGCAAGTCGTTTCCTCATAAGGAGCCGAGTAGAAAATTACTGCCAAAGAAATTCAATTACATCAAAAATCTGAAGTTTTACAAAGATATGCTGGAGAAAATATTGTACTAAAGGCAAGCTAAACTTCACCACATGCAGCCATGCTTTAACACTGACTGTCAGGATAAGTCACTTGTATGTGGAGTGGCTGAAGACCTCCAATGAGCTGTTGACATGAATTGAACCAGATTTTGGTAAGAACCCAAACAATACAAGCATAAAAATGTAACAAAACCAAAAAAAAAAAAAAAAAAAATCTGTGTGTATGGGATGACACAAGGTGAAAGTACTGAACTACTGAAATTACTCTTGATGGTTCATTGGGTCTCGTCTTTAATTTGTATTTTATATAGGATTCAAGTCAAGTGATAGCTGGGCCAATCTACAGCTTGATTTTCTTTCTCTGAAAGCATTTGAGAGTTTCCTTGGCTGTCTTTTGGATCATTGTCTTGTTGAAATGTCCACCGTGGTGTTGGAATATCTAGCTAATTCCATGCATGTTCAATAAGAAAAGGTCTAGAGAGGGTTTTCTTCAATGCCAAAAATATTAGTAATTTATTAGATACAAATGAATAATTCGATGACAGAGCTCTGGGTTACGTTACCCTAATGCAATACAAAAATTACATTCAAGAGGTTTGCAACTAACATACATTTCAAGACTCCAGCATATATACACAACTGATATTAACAGGTGGAGTTTTGGTTTAATGTCACTTATCAGTCATTCCGCAGTCCTTTGGCTCTTGTACCCCAGACATACTTCCTCTTTCTTCAACCCTTCTCTGCATACCAGAACTGAACAATTACGTGCATCTTAAATATATTTCACAACTTCTACAAGCATCATGACAATTTGTGACATGTCTAGACTTTGTATTAAACAGCAGACTGAAACAAGGGCCCCTGCCCTAAAATTATTCTTATTCTGCTTTTTCCACTTGTCAGAAGTTCCTTATAAAAAGTATGCAGTAAAAAAAAGAGGTAAAAAAAGTGTGTCTGGTCAAGATGTGGTATCACACAATAGAAAAAGGTTGATTAATCTGTTATTAGTCTACACATTACTCTAATAAAAAATAAAGACACAAAAGTAATAAAAATAAATTCCTTTTTTCCAACACTGTAGTGATGGGAAGTTCGGCTCGTTTTACTGACTCGGATCTTTAAGTCTCGTTCATCGAGATGAACGAATATTTTTTTGTAATTTCATTCATTTGGTTCAATTTGCCAAAATATTATTAAAATGTTACAAATTGCTTCCAAACACATCTACAACTAGCCCAAAAGGTTGATCACATGACAAATAAGTCATAAATAGAATACTATAAGGAGCAGAAAATAATTCAGTGTTTACCTGCTTTTTTGTCTATGACGGTATTGTTGTCTCTTTGCTCAGCTCACCTCTTCATGTCTTCAAATGCCAGTGGTTCGTTCACGTTACACTAGGGATGTAACAATATTGTAAATACCGTCATACTGCAATAGTAATTTTTTTCAATATTACTGTAGGCGCATGACTCAAAACTATTTCTGAGAAAAGTTTGCTTAGGCGAATGAAGCGAGGTAGCGGGAACTACAATTCCCATCAGCCTAGGCGTGGCCATCATCCTTTTCTTTCTGTTGTCACTACAGATCCAGTAATGCGGAGATGGAGTGTGTTGCTAGTAGCGGGGAAGAAAAAGAGCTGGAAATTATCTAACCTAAAGCGGGTTTTAAATCGGATGTGTGGAAGCATTTCGGTTTCTTTCTGAAAAGATACGAAAAAGGAGAAAAGGTTACAGACAAAGAAAAAAACAGTATGCAGGCACTGCCAGACTGTGGTGGAGTATAAGTTGGGGAATACGACTAAAAACAGTCATGGGGACTGCAGAACACAGCAGTTAGATTGATGCAGACATTGACTTGTTCCGCAAAGAGACCTCTATCTCACTCATGGCTTGTCCTCTCAAGTGGTGGAAAGACAATGCACAACGTTACCCACTGCTGTCAACCTTGGCTAAATCATATCTCTCTGTCCCAGAAACCTCAGTCCCAAATGAGAGGGTTTTTTTTCTGTTGCAGGGGACATGCCCAGAGATCCCAGCTTTTTCCAGATTATAGTTATATGATAATTTTCCTTAAAAAACACATCTTTATCTAAGTGAGTGAGTGATTAAATGTTGAATGTGATGAGTTTTCAACAATACTAAATTGAAACTTTATTTTTTTATATAGTTTAATAGTTTTTTGTTTAAGTTGAAATTGAAGTTCCTGTTTTGAAACTTACAGATAGATGGCTAATTTGTATGTCATTGATATGTTCAATGCTAAGGTAAATACACTTTTGGCACTTTTTTCAAGTCTTTTCATTAGTTTTGTTTTTCCTGTAAATTATTCAATAAATACCGCACCGTGCCATTCATACCGAGGTATTATTGTAATGTGAAGTTCTGATACCGTTACATCCCTACGTTACACTGATAGTCACATATAATCTTAACCAATGTACACAGTCAGAGCCGATAGGAGCCATGATAATTTGTTCACCTTTCGAGTCTTCTGATTCTCGAGTCATTCGTTCATCACGTGACAGAATGACTCAAGACTGTACATTTTAAAACACTTACATTTTAAAATGCTTAATAATAGCATTACATTTTAATCTAAATTTAAAAGTATAATTTACTTTACATTTTTCTAATAAAAATAATGATTATTTTTAATAATTATTTTTTAAAACTCATCACAATCCCAAGCAAGGACAAACCGCTGAAGCCGAATTCATGGTCGCGGGATGGGGGAAAACTGAAAAACACACAACAGAGAATGATCTTCTAGTGACAGACGTGTTGATTATCAACAAAACCTATGTTTAAAAATCTATGTTAAACTGCCTGACAATATCCTCTGTGCTGGAGGCTACGAGAATGGCACTTGGCAGGTACATCAACAAAACCCATTGATATTTTGTTGAACGTTCAAGAGTCTATCTACCTTTTTCTGTATGCAACCAACGAGGTGAAGTTATTCTCCTTACAGTACATCTATCCGGTTTTAAAAAACAAACTTAGCAGATTTAACAAATTATCGTTAGCATATCACAAATAACCCCAAAATCTGAAAACAAGCCATAATCTGAAGGAAAAAAACACAGTGAACTCAAAAGACCACAAAGTTGGTCATATAAATAAAGCACTGTCAAAATTACCTTTTACTGAGATTTGCAAATAGATAAGGATTATTTTAGCCGTATTATTTTTAGTTCATTTATAGAGCCCCATATGTTGGGTTTTTAAAAATGACCATCCATGCGTGTGTAACACAGCACCAAGTGAATAAAAACATCTAGCTATTAACACTATCAACACTATTTATTCTTTAACGAAATAGTCGACTAAATTAATTGAGTTGGAATCAGATCTTTTGCTTGAACGCATCGACATTGATACGGCACATCACCAAATATGTAGTTCAAGATCAGGTAAATTGTGAACGCGCATTTCCCTTCATACATTAGCTGAGTGCGGGGGATCACAGGACTGATCATGAAGTGAAGATGACGATCACTGACAGATGGAGATTTGGCTGCGGGGAATAAAAGGGTTAAAGTTTATTTTTACAATGATACCAAAATATAGCCAACCATGTGTTGATTTTTGATACAAAACCTAAGCTGGTTACATTTGCTATTAATGCAAGGGGCAGCAGGGACTATCATGTATGGGACTTTGTCAGTAACCGTTACAGCTAAAATGGACCAGTTTCTTCTTCCTTCGGATCATAAGATGTAAGTGTAATTAAAATTGTTGCCTCGTTTTGTGTAGTTTGCAAAATGCCTGTTTAATTGTGTGTTATAAGTTGTAATTGTCCTGCGCAGCTTGTAATCACATATCTATTACAGATCAGTGCTTGTACTGTATCTCTCAGGTTAAACCTTCATGGGGCTTTTCACATAGTCACCAAAACCAAATTGAAAATGCAACGTGTGTTTCTTCCTATACCGATTTACATTGCATTTCTGAACTCGCGATCCTCTGCTGTTTGTCTTTGCTATAGCCACCATCACCTGTTCCTATACACGCGGCACAGTCAATTTTCAAAATAGTTCAGCTTTTTAACACTGTGTGGATTAATACTGATTGTGTGTCCTTGTTATTTCTTGGGGTAAGTGTTAAAGAGGGGTTTGGAAACAAATGTATATTTTTGACCTTGCATGCATATCAGCCAGTTGTTGGAGATCCCCCAAAACCAAATATGACCTTTTATAATGCAAAATAGGGGCTCTTTTAATGGAAGTTCTCCTAACGCGAAGTGCAACCCATAATTTCAAACACAGCCATCGCATGCTGAAAAAAAGGTGGAACCTCTTCAGAACCCAATACTAATGTGACTGTTAATCACTCCTAATCACATTATCATTGCAGGGTGATTCGGGTGGGCAGCTAGTGTGCAGTGAGCAAGCAGTGGGCATTGTCTCTTTCAACATGGGCCGATGCGACTACCCCAATGCTCCAAATATTTACACTCAGATTTCCAAATACACCTACTGGATCAAAAAGATGATCCATGGAGGTGACTGATGCCTGTATTAACATAAGCATTTATGATATGTATTTTTGAAGATACAGATCTCAATATAGATTGTAGTAAATGTGAAAAAAAACAACAATAAAAATAAGCAATGAGTCTGCATTTCCCTCTTTTAAAGTGCCACTTCAGAGAGGGTGAACTGACATGATGATTTTTCTTCTGTAGACCACAACAAACAGCTCATTATTTCTTTAAAAAATTCTAAAGAAGTATTTAGTTTTAATTTCAGCTAATCTTGTTGCGGTGGCTTGAATTAAAAGTCTACTAAAGGGAATGATAACTTCATAGCTGTGCTTTTTTTTGAGTCATGCATGTTCATTATTAGGTTGTTGAAAACATCCAGGCCTTTATTCCAAAGAAAAAAAAAACGTCATATGACTTGACATGAGAAAATAATGATTGCTGGGTGAACCGAAGCCCTCCATAATCTTGTCCCACAGAAAAAAAAAAAAAATAATTAAAAAAAAATTACATATATATATATATATATATATATATATGTTTTTGACTGCTTATATAGCTACAGCAAGTCATTTTAATGATGTAAACTGACAACTGTGAGATACAAATGAGGAAATAATAAAGTCAGAATTAAAGATTCATAATAAAATTGTGACAATTACTTGCCACTTTTTCCATTTCTAATCCGTGTTGGAAACAAGCATTTGTATGCAACCCATTCCCTATAACGAGCTGAGTAGAAAATTACTGCCAAAGAAATTCAATTATATTCAAAATCCTAGGTTTTACCAAGATTTGCTGAAGAACATCTTGTACTAAAGGCAAACTTTACTTCACCAAATGGAGCAATGCATCAACACTGACACAGGATGAGTCACTTATGTGGTGTGGCTGAAGACCTATATAAGTGAGTGGTGGTCTTCACCAAGTGCATTTTTTACCAAGATGACTAAAGCGATCAGCCTGCTGCTCTCAGTAACTCTGATAAGCTTGGCACTGACTGGTTAGTAAAATCTAGCTTTACTGATTAAACGATTACAATTTGTGGTTAATTGTCACTGTTTTAGGTGCATTCGGAGCTGATATCATCAATGGCAAAAAGGCTAAGAAGAGCTCTTTGCTGTACATGGCATCAGTGCAGATTAATGGAGAACACAAATGTGGAGGATTTCTGATTGATCCAAGTTACGTGCTCACGGCTGCACACTGCAATAAACAGTAAGAGGCTGCTGTTGAACTGGAATATGTTTGTTGTCTAATGGAACTGTTTGGTCATTTGTGTTTATGCTTGTCTTATGATTATAGAGGCAATATGAGTGTGATCCTGGGAACCCATGACATCAGTCCAAAAGGGACAAATGTGAAACGTTACAGAGTGCAAAATAAGCATATACATCCATCCTACAAATCTGTAAAAACTGGGAAAGACATCATGCTTCTAAAGGTACAATATTTCATAAATAAGTGCAAAGTAAAAAAAAAAAAAAAAAAATTTAAGGTCAAATATTCTGTAGATAATGTATATATATAAGTTGTAAAATATTTGACATATATTGATTTTTATCTATTTTTTCAGTAAATATGTCATATTTTTATAAATTATTAAACATATATTTATTAAAATAAAACATTAGTTGAACATCTTTAGAAAGATAAAAGACATTTAAATTAATGTGAGATATTGGGAAAAACTACATTCTTACAAAACATTTACAGATTTTTTAGTTTCTCTTGAATTTTGCTCTTCTTTAAATTTTTATTTAGTATTTTTATCCTATATAAAATTTGGGTGTACTAATTTTGGACTGTAATCATTAGTTTTTTTTTTTTTTTTAGATTAGCTCCATATTTGGCTTCATTGTTGACTACATTTACATTTAGTCATCTAATAGACATTTGTCCAAAGTGAGGAGGTATTCAGAAGAAGTGCTAATTAATTAAAGTTACCTTTTCATGCTTTGAGAATTTAGTGCTAGGGTAGGATTTTTTTTTTTTTTTTTTGAGAGGGAAAGAGAAAGAAAATGCTTCCTTCACCGGGGCAGGTGTTCTCTGAAGAGAAGAGGTTTCTCATTGTCGTTTAAAAGATACGAGTGTATCCACAGTTCGAGTGGGAATAGAAAGATCATTTCACCAGTAAGAACCATTAAATGAAAAGGTTTTGGAAAGTAACTAACTTGTAGCGTCTCTGCGATGGCACCGCAAGACAGTGCTCACACCCTGACCGTGGGCCCCTAAAGGAGATGTAAACCTTCAGGAGTAGGTGGAGGTAAGAGGGTGCAGTGCCAGTGGCCATCCTCTAAGCAAACATCAGTGGTTTGAATTTGATCTGAGCTTCAACTGGTAACCAATGTAGAGAGATTTGGATGTGGAGAGAAGATTTTTTTTCAACACATTTCTAAACATAATAGTTTTAATAGCTCATTTCTAATAACTGATTTATTTCATCTTTGCCATGATGACAGTAAATAATATTTTACTAGATATTTTTCAAGATACTTCTGTAGAGCTTAAAAGAAGATTAAAAGACTTAACTAGGTTAATTAGGCAGGTTAGGGTAATTAGGCCAGTTATTGTATAACGATGGTTTGTTCTGTAGACAGAAAAGAAAAAATTTAGCTTAAAGGGGCTAATCATTTTTTGTGTGTGTGTGTGTGTGTGTGTGTATATATATATATATATATATATATATATATATATATATATATATATATATATATATATATATATATATATATATATATATATATTTACATTTTAATTGTAACCAAAGAATAATGGTATAATCAAATATTATTATTTTGTAACAAATAAGAGTATTTTATTTTTATCTTAATTTAAATGTATAATTTGCAATATTTTTTTTCAATAATGATTATTATATTAATTGTAAACTTTAAATAATTTTTACAATGCTAATCCTGAAGACCTCCCTTTTCCTTTCTGAAATTCTAGCTGTACAAGAAGGTGAAGATAGGCAAAGATGTAAAACTCGTCACAATCCCGAGCAAGGACAAACCGCTGAAACCGAAGTCCAAGTGTCTGGTTGCAGGATGGGGGAAAACTGAAAAAGACAACACTGTGAACGATCTTCTGGTGACAGATGTGTTGACTATCAACAAAACCGTCTGCCAATCAGTGTGGAAAAAAATCAATGTTGAACTGCCTGACAATATTCTCTGTGCTGGAGGCTATGAGACCAAAAGTGGCGCTTGCCAGGTACATCTACAGAATCTATCGATGTTTTGGTGAACGTTCAAGAGTCTGTCCACCTTTTTCTGTATGTAACCAATGAGGTGGAGTTATTCTCCTCACAGTACATTTATTCAATGTTTAAAAACAAACTTATTCAAATTGAATCATTGTTAACAGATCATAAATCACCCAAAAAATCTTAAAGCGAGCCTTATTGTTGTTGTTCTGTATAACATACAAAAAGAAAATAGTCTGAAGGAACAAAACATAGCAAACTCAAAAGACCACAATGTTAGTCTGCTAACAGTTAGTTTGCCTATAGATACAGTATGGATTATTTTTAGCAAAGCCTTACTTTCGGTTCACTTTCGGTGTGTTCCCCACACAGGAAGTGCAACCCATAATTTCAAACAGCCATAACATGCAGAAAATGGTGGATACTCTTCAGAACTCAATACTAATGTGATTGTTAATCACTCTTAAACACATTATCATTGCAGGGGGATTCAGGTGGGCCGCTGGTGTGCAGTGGACAAGCAGTGGGCATCGTCTCTTTCAACATGGGCCGCTGCGACTACCCCAATACTCCAAATATTTACACTCAGATTTCCAAATACACCCACTGGATAAAAAAGGTGATCCGTGGAGGTTCCTGATGCCTGTGTTAACCTCACCTGTATCAAAATAAACTTTTATGGTACCACTTATATGCTACAGATTAAACATTGTAATAAATGTGAGAAAACAACAATAAAAACTCAATGACTTCCTTCTTTTAAAGTGCCACTTCAGAGAGAGTGAAACTGTTCGAGGGGCTGTTTGATTCTCAACCGCAGCTAAAGCACACTGACATCAACCACATCCTAAGTTACAAAACTGTCTTGTCTTTTAAAAATTTATGCATGAGAGAGGGGGAAAAAAAAAGCTTGAGAGGACACTTTACACTTACAAAGTCCTGGAGACACAAGCAATCGATTGGTCAGGGTGTATAAAAAGTCTCTATAGCAAAGAATTCCTTTCATCAAAGAACATTTAGCTTACATATTTAAATCTGTCCCTTACAGACAAAAATGATCTTGATGCATGAAGGAACCCATGTTGAAAATAACAACAGAAAAAAAAGAAAAAAAAGAAGAAATTGCTCCAGAAAGAGCATCTGGTGTGGTGTTGTATTAGTACAAGCTCATATAGGGCCTGATTACTTCACTTCATAACTTCATTCTTTTTTTTTTTTTTTTTTTTTGTATTTGTGAATCCTTGAATTGTGAAAACAGATCCATTTACATTTCAACACTTCAAGGCATCTCTGCTAAACAATTATGATTCCGATCTTCAAATCACACGCTATATGCAAATTTAACTAGATTACGTTGACTAAAGCGCCAGACAAACCACATGTAGTTAATTAATCTTATTATTTACAGAAGCGTGAACTACTGTATATATCTTATTTGCCATTTTAATTATTTTATGTGCAGGCTATAAAAGGGGCGCCTGCAGGATTTTATTCCAAGGTATGCACAAATCCAGCCCCGCCCCCTTCCCGCAATGATAAAGAAACATGGATGCTTACTGTCAAAGGCTACGTTATTTAAGGGCATTCGTTATGACATAATTCATTTTCTTTTTAATTTTACTATTTTGTTGAAATCTAAATGTAATAAAGCACATCAGCACCAAGAGAAAACCAGACGCTTATGTAAAATTATGACATATTAAAAAAATGTGTAAATATATGACAGAAAATTGTGATACAATACAATTAGTGAAGCACTGATTAAATCCTTACTTTCCACTAACCAAAAATCATCCACCCGCACAGTTGAGTAGTTGACGAGCTCAAATAAAAATATAATTTGTTAAATTTTCTTTAAAAAAAAATATTTTTTACATATATATAGCCTCTTTGTTTAAATATTTTTCTTGGTCAACTACCTTCTAAACAAAATAGAAGAATGAATAACATTTCAGGTGAAGTGCTTCAAAACAAATCCGCTATATGCTTTAACAATGCCAAATCACTACCTGGATTGTCTAATAAAATAATAATCTAGCCTACATAAAATTAAAGTGAGATATTCAGTTTCAGAGAAGCCTATATTGAACTGTTAAATCATTAATCAAATAATTTAAATGAGCAGGACAGGGATTTACACAGTAGCCTTTTCGCAACAGCACTGAACATGTTTCCAAATTACCTTGGTTGAATAAACTTGGTTGAAAAGGTGAGAAAACTCAAACTCGTGAGAATGGAGATGTCTGCTTATTTATGCTAGTCTGTTAGATAAAATTGTTTAAAACACAAATTGTTTAAAACACCTTGAATGGTAGCCATTAGGATTAGTTTTTGTCTCATTAGTTTTAGGCTTTTTGGCAAATGTCTCAATGAAGTTTATTTGTTTAAAGAGTATTTACTCATTTTGAGGCTTGTTTTAAACAATAGCTATCTGAATTGTAATTGTTAGGGTGTGGAAAAAAACGCTAGCAAAACTAAAGCCAATAGATTTCTTTAACCATCTCCCACAATGCAAGTTCATACACTTTAAAACACACAAACACACACTTCTATTTGTTGTCATTCTTTCATGCTTTGTCAATATATCGTAGTGTATACAGTTTAATAATCAATTTAAATTATGTAATAATTTTTTTTTTTAAAGCTGCATTAACCCTCTGGGGTCTGAGGGTGTTTTGGGGCTCTGGAGAAGTTTTGACATGCACTGACATTTGTCTTGTTTTCAGTATCTTTAAAACATATTAATGGCTAAAGTGTGATAACACTGTAAACAGCACAAGTTAGGCTACAATAATACTTAAGCAGCATGTTTGTATGTGTTTGTGTTTTTGAGAAAGAAACGTTAATGCGTGGTAGGGGAAAAACTAAAATTTTGAAGCCACTGAAAGAAGGCCGTGAAACACACAGAGAACATTTGTGCACAAGACTTTTGAGAACTGGATATTGTAACTCCTGCAAAGGAGATCGGATTTATATCACACTCAAATATGTTTCAGAGGACGTTTACAGCTGCCCATATCATGATTGGATAGCTATCTGACCTGAAAATATAAATAAATAAAAATACGCATGGAGTAAACAGGTGAAAACAGCCATTGATTTCTACCTTTCAGCTCCAACCCTGATCAAATACAACTGAACCCATTTATTTAGGACCCGAGACAGCACTTGATAATTACAGACATGTGTTTGATTGGAATTGCAACTGAAATCTGCAGGAAGATAGATATCCAAATATAAAGTTGGTGACCCCTGCTTTAAAGGGTTAATTCACTCCAAAATGAAAATTATGTTATTAATTACTTTCCCTCAGTTTGTTCTGATTCCGAACCTGTGAGACCTTCATTGGTCTTCGAAATACAAATTGTAATCTGAGAGCTCTCTTATCCTTCATATATAGCAATGGTGACAATCTGTTTAAAGTTCCTAAAAGTATCAAAACAGACCAAACAGCTTCAGTGGTTTATTCAGAATGTTATTATGCTACAAGAATTCCTTTGCATGCACATGAAACTATTTTTTTCCAATCAGTTTTGTCAGTATAGGGGGGTCATTTACAAGAAATGTGCGTTGACGTATACAATGGATGCATTCAACTGAGTGCGACATGCATGAAAACAGTAGTGCTCTGGTCAATGCGCACCCTATAATGACACTGAGGACAATAATATTCATAATATTCTGATTGAACCACTACATGCTCTTTTTTTCAGGATATTTGTGTATATTGTGACTTGAAGTCTGGATGAGGGAGCTCTCAGAATTCATCAAAAATATTAATTTTCACCCCCAAAGGCAAGCAGGATGTGCTTGACATTGATATTAAAGTCAGCACCAAAAGACAGATTTCACCAATTACAGTATTAACACAACACTCAATGCAAGAAGTTTTTTTAAAAATATATAAAAACACTATTCTTAAATCAATTACTTTGCAACTAACAATAAAAAAATGTATTTTTCATCCAAAGATCGACATCAGAATTATATTGTATTGGCCAAAGTTAAGAAACGTATTTAAAACATCGTCCAGCTCTACTTTAAGTTTGAGCACTTTAAGGTCTAAATTCTCAGAAACTTAAACCCCAATTGTCCTAAAAACCCAGATTAAAAACAATCACGATAAGACTGTATATTGTGGTACATGACATTTTTGATCATATCACATGCTTTGCTTTCTTGCTTAACTATGTAGGGCACAACAAACTAAAAAACGAAGAAAACTGAAATAGTTTCCAGGCACACACATGGTCTGAGCATATTTTCTGGTAATACAAATATATATAAATGACCTCTGCATGACTTTCAAAATGAGTCAAGAGGCGAAAAAAGGGGTTGAGGTCTAACTTCACACGAATGCAGCTTTACTCTGTGGTAAAAATGAATAGTGTTACTAATGAAGCATTTGATGTGGTTAACTGATCATCCAATTGTTTCCGTACGTCATTTTCTTGTAAAGTAGTAGTAGAACCATGCAAATCACACAGAAAAAAAAAAGACATCCCTCAAAATATTTGACGCAATATATTTTTACATTAGACAGAGCAATACAGGAAACTATACAAACCTCTGTTATAGTGCTTTTGTAAAATTACAGATGGGACAATACCAGAACAGAGCATTTCCAGGAAAAGATTTCCCAAATAAATACAAGTGTTGAGTAACAATACACAAAGAAGGCGCTCTTATTATTTGAAATTAGGGTTCATTTTTGACAATTGTATTTCTATCTGGACAACATGTGCAATAACAAGGACATATTTAGGTTTGCACAAGTATAATCTTCATTATTTCCAATAGTTGTTTCTCAAAAGTGAGTGGAATTCAGTCTGTGATGTATATATGAAGTGGAAATCGCTTCTTGATTTGTCCAAGTCTTCTCAATGATTGAAATTTCTTGATAGCATATTACACTAATGCTGAAGATTCATTTTGACAGGTCTTTGACATACTGCAGGCCTTGTTTGGTGTAGTCACCAACTGTGGACGGAGCAACCGATAAAGCGTGGATAGACTTCTGGACCCCTGAGTTGGGGGAAAGAAATGGAGCGATTACATAACTATAGTATATTCATATACTGTGTGTAGTAAAATTAATTACATATAATTGTCACTAAATACAGAGGCATTTACCTGAGTTCCAAGCATCCAATGGGGAGAACTCAATTTTGGGGGTTGCTGGAAGCTAAAATATTATATTAAAGATCATTATAATAGTTTGACTTTGATAAAACATGGTATAATATGAAGAAGTATTTGGTTAGCAAAAAAATAAAATAAAATAAAAATAAAATAAAACACTTATTGCAATTCAAAGGTTAGTTAAGACTTTTTATTTACAAGAAGTGTGAGGCCCTGTTTGATTATACCAGATTGGATTGCTTGTAGTAGAAATGCTCAAGTGGTCAAAAGCATTCGAATGCACACAAAATGACTTGACCTAATTCTTAAATGACAAGACAAGTTGTTGATAAAGATGCAGAGATTAACCAAGCTGTTTGTAAACAAAACTTTAATTCTCAAATTCACTTAAATCAGGGTTTCTGAAGGTTTCACTAAGTTAAATTTAAGACATTTTAAGACATTTTTAAGAGCATTATGAATAAATTTTAAGACTTATACTGGGTGAAATGCTATGAATTTTTTTTTTTTCTAATATCCCAGTTAAAAAAGATTTTCACTCGCCCTATTAAAAAAAGGATAAAAATGTAATATATTTAATAAAACAATAATAATCATTTTGTTTGAATATATAATTTTGTACTTTTCAAATACATCCATTCACAAACCTTATAACCCTAAGAATAAAACAAAACATAGCAGTCAATTACTTCAGTCTACAATAATAATAATTTAATAATAAAAAAAAACTTATAAGAACTCTTAA